GCTGAAGTCAACCCTTGCACTTAAACACAATGTAGATATATCTACATACTCAAAACTTCGTTCTTTATTGAAACGGCAAGCTCAAGGTTATAGGGCAAAGAAATCTAAGATTTTAACGAAGGAAGAAATTAAAAAATTTATCCAGGAAGCTCCAGATAAAGATAATTTAATGATTAAGGTAATTTACAAGGTTTTAATTTCTATCTAGATTATAGCTTTATTTATTTTTTAGGTGGCTGTAATATTTGGTATTTCTGGGGCCTGTAGAATGGATGAGTTAGTCCGAATGACTGTACACAATATAGAAGACTTAGAATCTAAGCTTTTAATCAGCATACCTGATTCGAAAACCAACAAACCAAGATCATTTGTAATTAATCAGATCTACTTGAATGTTTATCGAAAGTATGTTTCGTTAAGACCAGAAAATATGAACAGTGACCGATTTTTCTTTAAATATCAAAGCGGAAAGGGTTGTAGACAAGTGGTAGGAATTCATCAATTTAGAAAAATGCCCAAAATAATTGCTACTTATTTGAACTTGGTAAATCCGACAGAATATACTGGTCACTGCTTTCGTCGGTCTTCTGCAACAATATTGGTTGACTCTGGTGCCGACATAACTAGTTTAAAGAGGCATGGCGGATGGAAGTCATCAAACGTTGCTGAAGGATATATCGAAGAATTGCTTAACAATAAGGTTGAGGTGGCAAATAAAATTTTCACAGTAAAAAATATTCAACAAAATGACACTTCCGCCCTGCATGTTGTCCAAAATGTTTCTCATAGTTCTAAGAGTGTTCCTCCAATGTTCAATAATTGTACTAACTGTCAAATTACTGTAAATATAACAAATTGATCTTAAAAATGTATTCAGCAATGACTTGATGTTTTCAAAATATAAATTAATTCCTTATAAGCAATGTGTTTTCTATCATTTATGTAGAACACTAACAACTGTACGGAAATATCATTTCCTTACAGTAAGGAAATGACATTTCCTTACAGTAAGGAAGTCCTGACTTTTTCTTCAAGAAATTTTGACAGGAATGTCAAAATTTCCTGGCGATTTGCGGAAAAAGACCTTTTATTCATACATTGTATTTTAACAAAGAGTGAGTGTGAGTGAGTCTTGTCCATAGAAAAAAGAGTGGCTTTCTTCAAAAGTGCAGATCGCAGGGTAATTATCGCCCACAAGTAGCGTCCACTTGGCAAAATAAATTCTATAAAACCCCATTTTTTTAAGAAGAGCTGTTCCACTTGCCAAACCACACAGACCTGTGTTCGAGTTCTAATGTCTTTAGTTACGTGCTAGTGTTTTGCTGCATCCATCCTACATGGTAGAGTACAATACACCATATTTATTTTGTTGTATGCATAGTCTATACATCAAGTACTTTTACTTGCTATTGAATTATTTCATATTGTGTCGCGATTTGAACCTTTTAATTGAACTTTGTTTTACTTTCGTTTAAAAATTATAAACTTTTTTCATAGTTTAAGCTTTATACCGTTGTGTATTATACAAGTATTCTATTTCTTTTTATCGTAGTGAGTCATTATTCAGACAAAATATTTAAGTCTTATGGTAACTTGATTCTGTAATAAAATTCATGGCAGACGACAAGCGGTTTCATAATCACTAAACATATATATTTCTTTATGGGTTCATATATTTTACAGTTATGGTATTATGTTCGGTCTTATTGTTTTATATACTTTGTCGCTTGTATAAGCTATCATTGTCTTGCCTTTCTGTATTTTTCGTTTTCAAGCTTATTTTAATTATATAGACGTTAATCATTTAAAAGTAAATGAATATTTTTTTTGTCACTTGGTTTAAATATAGTTCTTATTGCTTATTTATTTTTATTCGTAATACCCAAGTCGAAAGGGAGAAACCAGCGAGACGAATTTTAGATTAAACATAAATTATACATGTCTCATTTCTGATGATGGCCACCTATATTACATATATGTATATGTACAGAAAGCAACACTTATTTCAGTTCGTACGATTTGCAGTAATTTTTTTATTGTTATTTCGGGAATTTCACGTTAATACTCTGTTTCTGTTGTTCCGCTTATTTATTTGAGATATGTTACTTCTTTTTCTTTTTCACAATAAGCAATTCTGCTTGTTCATTGGCGGATTAATACCTTTATGGAAGGTTGTCACTTCATCTTTTGCGCGGTCGTCCGATACTTCTTTTGCCGATTGGTGACTTATCTCTTGCTATTTTGACGACACGAGTCTTCTCCATTTTGCTTATGTAGTTATTCCATTTTTTACTTCTATTTTGTGTCCATATATTTACACACTATACGGTAAATTTTCTTTTAATGTTTTCACTTCTCTTTCGATTTCTCAGCGTATTTCCTGTAATTCTTCTCAGTACTTTCATCTCTGTCGTTTTCATTATTTTTTGCGTTGTGGCTGTGTCGGGTCTTGTTTCTGCTGATGCCATCAATTTCTATTTTACATCTGGTTGGTTCTTTGCTGACTACTATTGTTTAAGTTTTTTGAGATGAGATTGTCATATTAAATTCTTTTGCTCTTATATTAAATCCGTGGACCAGTCTTTGCAAACTATCTTCATCTTGGGCTATTAATGCATAACAGAGTATTTTGATTTCTTTGTTTTCCATTTTGTATCCTCTTCGTTTGTTAATGCTTTTCATGATATCATCCCCTTGCCTCGTCAATTTTTATAAGTTTTGTAAGTTGTCCATCTATTCTGACTTCCATTTTGTTCTTTTGATAGATGTTTTCGATAGTTTTTATAATATTTAGGGGAGCTACTCTATTCTACATAATATGGATTACATATTTCAGTCTTACTCTGTCAAACGGTGTCTGTAGGTCAATCAGACACAGAAATGCTGATCTATTATACTCTAGTGATTTCTGAGCAATTTGCTCTATAGCGAATATTGCATCTGTACATGATCTTCCACTAAAAAAAATCCGGTTGTTTATCTGCTAAACTTATATTCTGATTTATTAGCACTTGTAAAATTTTAGTTGTAAGTTTTAGTGAAGTATTTAACAAGTTTATACCACTGTAGTTTTCGGTTTGTTTTTATCTTCTTTTTTGACTAGTAGAATTAGTTCGCTTATTCTCCATTCTTCCGGTATTTTATTTTGTTTTATAATTTTATTACGTAATGTTGGTAATTGTTCTGTCATTGCTGCTCCAAAATATTTCAGTACTCGTTTGGTATCTCCTCTTTACCTTCTGCTTTTCTATTTTTCAGATTTTCAAGTATTTTCCGAACTTCCTGTACATTTATATTAGGTTCTTTATTTGTGGTAATATCTGGTGTTTCCGGTTTCAGCGTCGTTTGATCTTCTCCTGCATATAGCCTTTTTAGGTAGTCAATCCACGTATCCTTTCTTTGTGTTTTAGTTCTTTTAGTTTCTTTACCTCCATTCTTTGACCTCTTATGAAGCGCCCTATTTCCTTTTGTAGACCGTAAAAATATGTTTCATTTCTTTCGGAAAACGTTCCTAGTAATCATTTTTTATTGTTCTGATAAGTTCATGAGTTTCGTTTCTAATTATCTTGTAATTATGGTATGCCTCTTGTATTTTGGTTGACGTGTATTTCAGGTAAGCTTTTTTATTTTCTTTACATTTTTCCTTTACTTCTCTGTACAAAACCATGGAGTTCTTCGCCTTGGCAAAGATTTATTTTTATTTATATTTCTTTCACCAAGAACTTTTTTGGCCGAGGCTAAGATATTAGACCTCATTTTTGCCCAGGTTTCTTCGACTCCATCACTTTCTGTGATACATGTGTTTCTGCTTTTTTTTGGTTATTCTTTTTTGGAATAGGTATCTTGTGGAGTCATCCTAAAAGCTTTCGACTTTTATCTTTGTAGTGTATTCTGGTATTTTGTTCAATCAATCACATATATGTGTTTTGAATCGGATTTTACACAATACCAATTTCTGATCGTTTCCTATTTCTGCTGTTATTAGATCTCTTACATTCAAGATTTATGAGGTCAATAATTCTCTATTCGACCGAATATAGCCCATCATAGATCTTTGTCCTCTACTGTTTTCAAAAGTGTATTTGTATTGTTCTTTTTGAAGGAAAAATGTATTATTAATATGTATCTCGTTTATGCTGCTGAGGTCCGTCAGAAGGTTTCCGTTTTAATTTCTGATATTTTCGTTATATCGCTGTTTTATTCCTGGAACTATATCATTGCCAACACAACAAATAATGAATATATACTGATATATAATGTCGGTTAATAATTTATGTTTAACTACATTAGCTAAATATTCATGAAATTCCTCCATGACTAAATTGATCGATATTTAAATATATTTTAAGTTCCAAAATGTAGCTGCTGTAAAATTTGAAAATCTACTACTAATACAATTATTGGCAACATCGCAGGAGTTAAAAAGTGTACGCAAAATGGTAAATACGGATCCCAAAAATGGTTTATCCTGCTGTGGAGTCCACTTACTCCTAGAAGTATATATATATATATATATATATATATATATATATATATATATATATATATATATATATATATATATATATATATTATATATATATATATATATATATATATATATATATATATATATATATATATATATATATATATATATATATATATATATAAGAAATACTGGATATTATTGACTGTCGATATAAACAAACAACACAGTTTATTAGGGTTGCAGTCAGAATATTGGCCGGGATGTTAAAAAAAAACACTCTTTTGACTTTTTGTCGAGCTTTCGGAATGGTTTTATTCCTTTTTCAAGACACTGTAAAAGACAATTATGTAAATATTTAAAAAATATCACAATTCTTCAGTGTAACTTACTAGTCGTTGAGATTATTTTTGTAAGCCTTGAACACTCAACATTTGTCTTATTGCTCGATGGATAACAGTTACATATGTATTTTGTATTGCCTAATACAAATGTTTTGAAAAGGCGTGACATAATACGTCAATGCATGTGTCAAAAATCAAAATAGAAATTATTCATTCTAGAGGAGCTATTTGATAAAAACCTTTAAAACTAAGAGAAAAATATGGGATTATTTGGAAAAACACCAGAAAGAAATCCCAAAGATTTGGTAGGCATATTTTTATTGTTCTTAGTGATCTAATAATCATTTTAAAACTTTTAAACAGGTTACAGAATGGAATCATAAATTAAGGAAAGAAGGCTATCAACTTGACAGACAAATTAGAGGTAAATAAATGTTCAAAATTTTAGATATAAATATTGAAACTGCTTGTTGATTTTAGCTATTCAACGTGAAGAGGAAAAAGTCAAAAGATCGCTGAAAGAGGCAGCCAAAAAAAATGACAAGGACACCTGCCTGATTTTGGCAAGAGAAATTATACATTCTAGAAAAGCCATTAACAAAATATATACTTCTAAAGCCCATCTTAATTCAGTAATGTTACAAATGAAGAATCAATTAGGTGAGAATAAGTCTCTATTAAAAAGATAAATGCTAATTTTAATTATATGCCAAGGTTATCTAGAAAACCTATTCAGCAGATGGAATCATCTAATTAACAAACTTTAAGGAGTAGTATACTTATTTATTTATGGAATATCCCATTTAAAAAAAAATACAATGTGCTCACCACAACTTAATAACAATCAATAATTATAAATAATTCAAACAAAAATGAATAATGTAATATTCTTACGATTCACCTTTCATTCTTAATACATTAACTCAAACACTACTTAACTATTGAAAACTCATAAGTCAACTATATTATAGTATCAATTAAAACTATTTTCTAAATTCTGTTTTAACTCTTTCAGTGCTGAGAATGTTGAAATATGTACTGCACTTACTTTGGTGAGGGCACATGACATCTTTCGATGTTCAATAGTTATTATATTTTTAATAGAGAAACATTTTGAACATCCTTCTGATTCTGACATGATCTGAAATAATCCCCATTCAGCTTAAAACATACCCCCATTGGTGCTTTAAGTCTCTGAAGCAGTTCTTAAATTTAATTTTTGTCTTTTCCTTTTCTAATTTTCTAACTCTAACTTTTCTCATCCATATTAACTCTTTGAGGCACAGAAGTCTGTTAATATTCTAGACCCTAGTTGCACACAAAATAAAGTTTTAAATAAGAAACATTTTTTGGGTTTAAGTTGGAGTTGATAGTCAACAGAAATAAAAAATAAAAAATTTCATTTAACAAACCTGTCACTTTGACAAATAGAGGGTGGTATAACCCGACAAGCGAGAGCTGGCGGGTTGCGCGTAGAACAAATTGAAACGTGGAAGGAATTGCTCATTTCTATTGCAGTCGTCTAGAAGTTCACATCGTGTATAACCGTTTAAGTACCTATACTATATACCTATAATCGCGATTAAGTACCTCTCATATCTCTCTTAGAATAATTCCTTTTCTATTTTTGCGCAGCTCACCCGCCAGCACTCGCTTGTCGGATTATACAACAGTTGTACCACTGTGCAGCATCAGTATTTTCTTTGTGTATTAGAAATAATGAATATTGTGCTAAAAATCTTTGTTTTCAGATAAAAAAATTATAATTATTTGTGATATTGTTAGAAACAATCTTTTGTTTTGCTGAGGTATAAAGGGACCTTACAAATGGTACAAGTCCATTCAGTACGGATTTGGTGTGCTTTAGTACTACATCGGGCACACCTTCTTCTTGTTGACCTATTATCTGGTGATCTCAAGACGTAAATCTTCAGGTAACCTTCTTTGTCGTTTATTTATTGGTACCCCACTACTTTTTTCCCAATTAGCTGCAGTTAATTTCTCTTCTTCGAAAGTCTTTTAGAGATATTTTTTGTAGACTGCATATCTTATGTAATATATGGGCATTTACAACAGAACAGTCTAGAAAATGGAAAACAATTCTCATCCACCATTTTTTCTTTTCCTATCCAACTCATATGAAGACCTCATCTGGTCAAACCTGTCTACAAAATTCATGTTAAGATTAAAATCAACCAAAGCCGTAGGACATGGAACAGACATTTTAGATCCATCTTTTTGTCTTCTTTGTACACAACTTGTCTGGGTGGGATCATGAAAATTAGAAAGAATATGAACAAACCTCCTATCTTTCCATTTAATAAAAGTTATTCCATCACTACTTGCAAGATAATCATACTCACCCTGCTTTAGTTGCTTATCTTCACATATTTTTGGTAAATGCTTTCTGTTTGACATAACTGTTCCAAATGAATAAAATCCGAGGTCTTTTAGTTTTATTTATAAGTCATAGGAATTGAAGAAATTATCAAAGAATAAAACATGGATTTTCTGCTTCAAGTTCTCTGTCAACCTTAGAACTACTTTTTCGCCTAAAGAGAGGCAAAATTGTTATGTGTATACAGGCAAACAGACTACATAGTTGTCTGTTTTGCCTGTATACACATAAACATTATATAAATAGCCATTTTTATCAGCAAGTGTCCAAATCTTGTAGTCCTTTTTTATTGGTTTTTTGGACATATACTGTTTTAATAAACTTCTACCTTCATACTTTATCATAGACTCATCAATGGATATATTAGCTATTGGTTTGCAATATTTTTGAAAATTGTTTTTCACTTAATTGAGGAAAGGCCGGACTTTATACAGTTTATCATATACATTCTCTTGGCATTAACATGGCATTAGGTTGTTGTCATTTAGATGAATATGACTTAGCAGCTAACCAAATCTATTTACAGGCATGAATTTACAGTTATAGTCATCATGAAGATCTTTATTTACACTCCAATAATCCCTATAACTTGGCAGTGGTTTTATACCCAGTAGCAGATTTAGACCAATAGATACTTTTATTTCCTTCACGGTTGTTGGAGTATATTTCTTTTAATTTTTTTGAAATTCCTGTTCCGCATACAGGTTGGTTTGGAAAGTAATTTTATCTAAAATATCATCAGATATAAACAGATTGAAAAAATTGTAAGGGGTAAGCAAGATGTCTTCTTTTTGTAACAATTCCTGACATAATCCTTGTTCATCACTAAAATCTTTTACTGGTAGTATTTTTTTTAATATTTTCTGTAGACCATGAAATTTTCTTTTTTTGATTAGGAACTTTCGCAAAATTCGTCGGCAAAGGAACATCCCCTTCACTCAACACATTTTCCTCATTAGACACATCGTCATTATTTAGTACAAACTCATCACTCGGTGGTTCAAACGTCTCGTCCTCACCTGAATCATCATCAATTTCTGATTCTTGATCACTAGGAATTTCTTCAAGGTCCCGGTACAATTCTTCCTCTGTCATCCCTACTAACCCGAAAGGTAACGGCTCCCTCCTATTATTACTGGACGCCATTTATTCCTAAATAGGAAAAACGTTAACTAGCTGCACGTTGGTATATATTTTGGATTGCCGTATATATTCAAAAATATAAAGTTTGTGTAAAAAGTAGTATTGTTTTATGTTCCAGTGATTAAATAAATACACTACTAATCTAAAATAATGTTATAAACAATACACAATACCTACTTTTTAATAAGAAAATGACGATGTAAAAATTTTTTACAGACACATGCACTAGAAGTTGTTAGAATTGCAACTGACATCTAACGACACAAATTTATGGGAAATATTTCTGGTGATTTAAACATGTTTATTAGACGGTTCAGTATAGTGGCACATTTTAGCCGTCGCTGTGCCAAACGATAAATTTATTTTGTTAGGTGGTACATTTTATGGACCGTTGTGCAAGATAGGACTAATTTTTAGTGGTACAAAAAATGTACCAATGTACTTCAAAGAGTTAAGGAGATAAGGTCTGACACATCTAAAACGAGAATATCAGGGAGAAGTTTGTTGGCTAGGGAGAGAAGCGAAAACATAAGAACATCATGCAATATAGAAGACATAAATGGATAGGTGACAAAACGAAAACAGCAGTGGAATGAACACATCAATCAAATAAACGAAGAAGTATTGGCAAACCAAGAAAAAGATGGTACGACAATTTAAACAATTTAGGAGGCTAATATTGAAGAAGAAACAAGCTTTAAAGCCTACATACTAAAAGCAAGAAGAAGAAGAAGTCTTTTCCCACATTCAGTCGCATTATTACATTCATTTGAATCATCTCTCTATTGATGATAGGTTTTACTCTCTCCCAGATGCTTTGGTGAATATTTGAAAATGGAACTTTTTTATTCTCAATTGTCACACATCTTTTTAGAACTTAAATATCAAATTATTTGTTGATTATTTGGCATATTGTGCATTCATGGTGCACAGCACCTTCAAAAAACAGTCAACATGGACATTTGGATGAAATCTTCCATTGTGAGGATTGTTTTGTTTCTGGGCCATAACTATGAACCCACGACTGCTTACCTGTAATGATACTGTTAAGATTATTTTATCCAAGTGAATATTTCTCAGCTCTGTCTTGAAGATTTTAAAATTAATCAGAATTCCAAAATTGCTTTTCGCTATTGTCAAATGTTGATCTTTTTTAATTGCAAGGATGTACTGGAAGGTTGACTAAAACGTGAGTCATTTTTAAACTCGATTATCCATTATTCTTTATTCATACACAAAAGACTTGCATTATTTGAATACTTTCCTGAGCCAACTTCGTTCAGGTTTTATTAAATATTTTTAGCAATACAAAAATCCATCAAATGCAAATTATTTTTTTATAATATGCTTAAAAGATGTTTTAATGTTTTGTTAATTAACGTGAAAATATTATGTAAAATAAAGTCATCTGTTAGTATTATTAAAATTTGTATAATATAAAGACTACCGCAATTACATTTTTATTTTTAAATAATGTGTTGCATATGAATCAGAAAAAGTAAAACCAGTTGGTGAATATATACATATTTTTTTTTTATAAAAATCACCTTGAACACAAACAATTGCTAAAAGAATTGTTTACTGGCAATTGTTATATTTTTTTAAGAATGTTGACTGACCTGATTATAAATAATTTTAGCTACATTGAGGATAGCAGGCGCCCTTCAAAAATCCACTGAAGTAATGCAAGCCATGCAACGTCTTGTAAGGGTTCCAGAAGTAGCTCAGACAATGCAAGAGATGTCCAAAGAAATGATGAAAGCTGGAATAATAGAAGAAATGTTAGATGAAACAATGGAAGATCTAGAAGACACTGAAGAAATGGAAGAGGCGGCACAGAATGAAATCGATAAGGTTCTGTTTGAAATTACAGAAGGAAAAATTGGAGAAGCTCCCCTACCTCCTACAGAACCAGCGGAACAGGTTGGACCTAAACCATCGCGGTCTGTGGAAGAACCTCAAGAGGATGAAGAGGAAATTGAAGAAATGCAAAGTAGGTTGGCTGCTCTCAAATCTTAAAAATTATTCAACATCCTGCTTGAACCATTTGTTGTGAATTTCTAGATTTTACTATTTGTGATATAGTAACAATGTTTCTAAAAAATTGTATTAAGTATTCTTATAATATTTGATACTCATAAACAGACAATTATTAAATATTTATTTGTAAATGTATTCAGTATGTGTTATCATAAATATTGTTATAGCTGTTTAACAGATTTTTATTAGTATGAATACTGAATTAATTACTTCAAAGTACTATGAAATATTCATGTTCCAAATGTCTTATTATACTTCCTTGGCTGTTAGGCTGTTTACACAACGATATTTTATATCTCTTGGTCACTGCTTAACTAGGAAAAGCTAATTATTCTACGAAACCCACTCAGGGTCGGGTACAATAACTTTGAAAACGTAATACAAGACAAAGAGTAAACTTTCTATTTTCAACTATACAGTACGATTCTTCGATATGAAAAGCATCTTTTTGGTTATTTTTGAGACTGTTTAGTGAATTTGTGGTTTGAAGTAGTTTACATTGTTATATTTACTTTTTTTGCCCTCATAATAAAACATGTTTAAAATTAAATAGGAGTATATTGACTTAAGTTTGATAGTCAGTCTACATGTTGAAGCCGTCACAAAAAAAATTATTACAAGGGTGCAGCTTTTGTTGGTTATATAAACCTGTTATCAAACTTGTTCTTATCTCTCCTAAATATGTCCACACTTCCCCCTGGAATATCATCTGGTCTAACTGCTTTACCTTTGTATTATTTCTGAAGCTTCTATTATCTCCGTTAGCTCAACTGGTATCCACACTAAGAACTAAAGATGGAGATTCATCAAGTATAGACTTTTATGATACCCATTCCAGAATTCTGGAACCTTGTACCAGTTTATACAGGTCTAGTATCATATGTTTTTGGACTGACTTAATAGTTTCCAAAAAGTGTTCCCAGAGGATCTAATGTCTCGAAGTTATGCAAGCTTTAGTTGACTGTTTCAGTTTCCCTCCTACAGAGTATGTATTGAAAGTCTCATTGTATGCGGTTGTCCCTGAACTGGTGCATGTCCAGCAAGTAAGCCTGTTATGATGTTGAGCTAATTCCTGCATGTTTTCCGCAATACTTCAGTTCTATTAGCGCATATCCGTCCCCTATACATTTTACCATATACTTGACCGGATATACTTTCCCAGTACAAGTTATTTTCGTATCCAGTCGTTTTCCTGTCGAGGACGGTGCTTTTTGACACTACTGCTCTTGATCCTCTTCTGGTAAACACACGAGCTCATTTACTGCCATGTATTGTTTCGATGACCTATCACATCAGTGTCACTGCACACTAGTATGGCACTGTTATATTACGTCAGTCTATCGACTTCTCGGTATGCCTACACTAGCTTAGAATCTAGTATGTGTTATTTAACGACGGAGTGGATAAAATATAACATTTCAAAGACAAAGTGGATGGCAGTTGGAAAGATCCATATAGATCAAGGTCTGCTTTCTCTTAATGGAGAAGAGATAGAAAGGGTAAATCATTTCAAATACCTTGGTAGCTGGTTAAATTTAAATTGTGACTCTGATGAAGAGATAATATCCAGGATCGAAATATCACGTAAGGCTTTTATGACCTGGAAACCAGTTTTATGCAACAGAAACCTGTCAATGAACATTCGTAAGAAGGTCCTGAAATGTTATGTGTGGTCGATCCTATTGTATGGTTGTGAGACATGGACGTTAAAAACCACAATGCTAAACAAGTTAGAAGCATTCGAAATGTGGTGCTATAGACGAATCCTAAAGATATCGTGGGTTTCGCACACTTCCAATGAAGATGTTCTTCAAATGATCAACTCAGAACGTCTGCTTATAAACACCATAAAGAGGATAAAAACAGAATACTTCGGCCATATAATTAGAGGACCCAAATACCATTTACTTCGCCTTATAATACAAGGAAAAGTGGAAGGAAAGAGATGGATTGGTCGAAAGAAACTTTCATGGCTGCGTAATATTAGACAATGGTGTGGTTTCACAGTAGAAGAATTATTTCGCGCAGCAGCCGACAGAGAAAGGTTTCAGGAAATTGTAAACATGATGACGGCCAACGTCTGAATACGGACACGGCACCCAAAGAAGAAGGATAAAATATCGATTGGACTCTGGAAAGGAATATTCAAAATACATAGACGATTGTAAAGAGTACATACCGTTTGTAGTCAAATGTCAACCAAACATTACCACATATTAACGAGATTTTTGAGTTTGGAATAAAGTTCTTTTTCAAACAGCATTCATGGTAGTGATGATTGTTACATCTAGCACATATCAGTTTTCAGTGTCTAAAAATTTTAATTTAGCAGAAAATTCATCACATTTGGACGTTATATTAAAGGTTGTATTATGTGTATCATGAGAAACATAATCTCGATATTTTTCCTTAAACATCTGGTACATTTTTGTTATATATTAAGTTTTTTAGGAAGATGTGTTTTTGATTTTTTAAGGCTATAACGCAAGTTTCTGTCTTTTTAGTTTGTTTATTTTAATAAATTTCGGTGTTGAGAATTATGTCAACCTCTTATTTTTAGGGAAATACCGACCATCAAACCAAAAATGTTTGTAATAATCTTAACTTATTCTTAGATGCTGTTTATAGATATGAAAGCTTTGGTATATATTGGAATGTCATCCATTAGATCTTCAGGCTTAAGTCTGATTTTATATACAAAATATGTAGTGTTAAACTGAACTTTCTCGTCATTTGTCTAGCTTTCTTTTTCCAGGTCAGCGGCGTTCAATTCGAATTACAGACTACCCATATAAACACCCTTTTTGTGCTCTTAATATTAAGCAAAATCAGCAAGAAAGATACGACCAAACAGATGGCGTATCAATCAGAATTTTCTGAAAATTTTGAAATTCTCCCCGACCTTCAATTGATTTTATACTATATCTTAGTTTGAACACTATTCGCTATTGATTTTTTAAAATTGTTCTCAGATTTTACATAAATAATTGTAATTATAAACATAACACAGTTATGTTTTATAATTCATACTCCCTTGTTTCTGTTAAAGCTATCTTAACATGTGTTATTCTATTATAATACTTTGTAAAAATTCATTTTAAATCTAGAAATTGACACAAGTTAACATGTTCATACATATATTTTTAAATTTCACTTCATTGGTAAATCAAATAAAATGTTTCAGGTTTAGAATATTCAATAAAACATATTTTTTAGTATTAAAAGAAGTTCACGTACCTCTTGACTTGTAGATTTTGCTTATTTGCAATATTTTTTATATATTCTTCTTAAATATGTGAAAATTATGAGAAACATATATAAACATAAACGTATTAATAAAATAATGAATACATTTGATCCTGATAGAATAAAAAGTTGTTGGAAGAATGTTCAGTAATGATCTCTATGACTCATATATTGATGTAGTATTAATTTAAATCAGTTCAATTAATAAAACGTATTATTAAAAGGTTCTAATAACTTCGAGTATAGGGAAGAAAGAAGAAATCTTGGCTCAGGAATATCAGCAATTGGACTAACCTCAGTGTTAAACAGATATTTCACGTAGCAAAAAATAGGGAAGCATTTAAAGAAGTTTAACAATCAACTTAATTACGAACAGTTTTAAATTGTAGGTGGCATCGGGTATGATTGTAATGAATAATTATGCGGTATTATGTCCTGATTTGGCATAAAACTTATTGTTCATCAGTAATTGGTCTTCATCTAAAGATATTTGAGGTATTTATAATACAACAGAAAACACTTTCGTGGCTTTAGGTTTACCTTGAAAATCCAAACCATAAAAAGATATTCAACAAAAATCTTATGGCAACGGAATATTCCCAACTGGGGTTGCTGGTTTTGAGACGTAGTCTATATATGGACTGAAGGCAACAACTCATTTGTTTTACACATTTGATATCACATCATTTAGAGGGTTTTTACCCAAATCGTTTAGTCGTTTCACTTATGTATATAGCCCGAAAGAGTCTTATGAATATATATATATATATATATATATATATATATATATATATATATATATATATATATAGATTGAACGAAATAAATTCGGAACATACGAAATATTATGTGTTTCGGCTCAATTCTGCTGCAGGTGGTTGGCCAACAAAAGGTTGTCAAATAATTATATTATAAAAATCCAATACTTCAGCGGGCTGCTGGATTCTGAACTAATTTAAGAACTCATTCATAGGTGGTCAAACCACCTATCGCTTCCTAAAGCCGGACACTCACGGTACAGCGGTGTCGTTCGACATAATCGGACAGAGGCGTTGTTCAATTTGTTGGTATATCTGGTGCGCCCACACACCATACTGCGCCGCAGTATTTGTTCGGTTCTCGACCATGTCAAATCAAACAACCATTTTAGCATCTCTTACTTTGTGTATAACTAAGCGTAAAAAGAAAGCTAAAATAAAACGTAGATTCTGGTGCAAAGAATCCAAGATTTTGGTGCAAAATAAATCTCGTCTGCCCCTGCACCGATTTACTGGACTGCACTGCTAATTTTAATTCTCTTTTATAGGATGTTCTAAAATTTTTATTTTTTTTCTTACATACTCTTCATTCGCATCTTTGTTTACTTCTTGGAACTTTAAAACTAGAATGTCCATTGCCTGTTTTCGGGCGTTTCTATCGTGATACGTTTTACCTTTTATTCGCTATAAGCATTCTTGTTTTTTATATAATTTAAAAAACTCTCTTAAAAATGCTCGTTAAATCAAGCCATTTCGATTTTCTATAATATGATCAAAGCAAGTGTGTAGTTACAGTATCGTGAGTGGCCGCCTTTAGGCAAGCCCCTCTTTCGTTTATCGGAGATGGAGATTTTGAGCGGTGTTGCCAATATCATACCACTAGATGTTTCTAAAATAACTACAAACTTCTGAAATAACTACAAACCATTAAGTTTATTTTTGTTATTAGTATGTTGTAGTAGATTGGTAAATACAATGAAAAATGTAGGCAAATATTCGATTTATTTAAAGATACGAAGAAGATTATTACACGGCGATTGGCAACATTGAGTTTGAGCTGCGCTCTAGACTATGGGGTTCTAATACGAGACGGATAGTTGAACGATATTTTATACAATGTCCAACACCGGGTATGGATTTATTTTTGTCCAAG